TTCTTACAGAAGCTATTTAGAAAACACATTAAGTTCAATTTTTATTTCATGGATTTTCAAACATGAAAAAAAAAAAAAAAAAAACACCATAAAAAAAAAAAAAAAAGCCAGAAAAACCCAACCGCTTCTCCAGGTGGACACAGAAGACAGATGACACGCTCCAGGGGATGCTCCTGCCACGTTCCTGTGGGAATTAGTGCCCCTGGAGCGGTGTGTCCAGGGTCTGGGGGGAGCAGCCGGGCAGAGGTGGGGTGCGACACTCGGGAGTAACGGTCCAGCGGCAGCACCGGGTCCCCAGGGGTCTCGTGGGACTCTCAGCAGCGTCAGGACATGCTGTTTCCTCTCTGGCATCGCGGGACGTTCACCGGGACCGTTAAGGCGCAGTGTCACCAAACGATGTGCAGTAACCCAGACCGTGGGGCAGGGAGAATATTAAGGCTTTAGTCCCCCGGAAAATAGCAACAAGGTGGGGGGGGGGGAAAAAAGGCAGCAACCTCCAAGTCTGGGGCCTGGTGTGAAAGGAGCTTCCACCCACAAGGAGGCAGCAAGAGGTAAAGTACAGTACGGGCAAAAAACACTTTCCCCTTAAAACCGAGGAAAAGCGATCAGGCACTCACTGGACTCCAGTGCTTTCCGTTCTCTGGTGGCAGAAGGGGGTTCTCGCCAGGACACCCCCCTGGTGTGGTCCCGCCGTGGTGGTGGGGATGTGGCTGTGGAGAGGGATGTCCCCCCCGTGCCACGGGTGCCATCCTGGCTGCCCGAGCCCCACGGGGGCTTTGCTGAGGGGCTCTCCTCAGCCGCTCTCCTTGGGCACGCTTGTAACATCCACCGTCCCACCGGAGCAGCCTCCTTCCCCATGGAAAGGGGGTGTCACGCTTCCTCCGGGGGGGTCCCCCAGCACAAGGGGCGCCAGGCTGTGCTGCCCACAGCCCTGAGCCCACCGTGGCTTGCCCAGTCCCACTCCTCTCCTTCCCAGAGGGAGAGGCTCGGCGTGCCCCGCGAGTCCCCACGTCGGTGGGGCGTTGTGCCTGTCCCCTGCTTCTTGTGCTTGTAGCGTGTGACCTCGTTCCACCACAGCCCCTTAGAGGGGGGCATCGTACTGGTCCAGGAACTCCTTGATGGGAGCCGGCAGCTGAGTCATCTTCTCGTAGGAGTCCAGGTGCCCATTGACGGTCTTGCGGCAGAGGTGCTGCAGGGTGGAGACGCTGGAGGAGAGCGGGCGGCTCAGCACCAGGGGGATCTTCTCGCCCCCCGAGTAGATGTAGTAGGTGCGTTTGGGGTGCAGGGCCCCCCCAGGCTGCTCGGGGACGGCGCAAGGGGAGGGCGGCATGTAGTGATGTACCAGCTTGAGCACGCAGTCGAAGCGGGGCACGGGCTGGCTGCTGCGGGGGTCGCTCTGCAGGGAGAAGCTGCCGCCCTCGCACTGGATGCGCAGGTTCTTGGTGCCCGACTCCGTCTTGACGCTGAGGGTGAAGAAGTGCCGTTGGTCCGAGCTGTCCCTGATGAGGAAGGTGCCGGCCGGCTCGGTGCTCAGCAGCAGGTTGGCCTCGCCGCCCGTCACCGTGCTCCAGTAGAAGCCGCTCTCCTGCAGCTTGCGCACGGTGTTCACCACCAGCTGGTACTCGCTCTTGGAGCTGAACGTCTTGAGGCGCAGGCTGGTGTCCAGGGGGCGGCTCATCCCGGCGGCGGGGAACTTGCTGTGGGTGACCATGGCGCAGGGAGCCAGCTTTGCGCGCTCGGGGTGCTGCTGCCGGGAGCAGCGGCTGCTACACCATCACCTGCGGCAGAGAACGGCGGTGAGACACGGCATCCCCGGTATGGTGGTGAGACACGGCATCCCCGGTACCCACCTCCCCCTCCCCGCAGCACCGGGCTCCCCCCGTCCCCGGCTACTGCCCTCCTGGGGCACCAGCATCCCCCGTCCCCAGCTATCACCCCCCCGCCGTGGGGCACCAGCATCCCCCAACCCTGGCTGTAGCCCCGGTGGGGCACCGGCATCCCCAGTCTCCAGCTCTCCTCTCGCCGTGGGGCACTGGCTCCCGGTTATCTCCCTCCCGGGGGGAACCAGCATCCCCCGACCCTGGCTGTAGCCCCGGTGGGGCACCGGCATCCCCAGTCTCCAGCTCTCCTCTCGCCGTGGGGCACTGGCTCCCGGTTATCTCCCTCCCGGGGGGAACCAGCATCCCCCGACCCTGGCTGTAGCCCCGGTGGGGCACCGGCATCCCCAGTCTCCAGCTCTCCTCTCGCCGTGGGGCACTGGCTCCCGGTTATCTCCCTCCCGGGGGGAACCAGCATCCCCCGACCCTGGCTGTAGCCCCGGTGGGGCACCGGCATCCCCAGTCTCCAGCTCTCCTCTCGCCGTGGGGCACTGGCTCCCGGTTATCTCCCTCCCGGGGGGAACCAGCATCCCCCGACCCTGGCTGTAGCCCCGGTGGGGCACCGGCATCCCCAGTCTCCAGCTCTCCTCTCGCCGTGGGGCACTGGCTCCCGGTTATCTCCCTCCCGGGGGGAACCAGCATCCCCCGACCCTGGCTGTAGCCCCGGTGGGGCACCGGCATCCCCAGTCTCCAGCTCTCCTCTCGCCGTGGGGCACTGGCTCCCGGTTATCTCCCTCCCGGGGGGAACCAGCATCCCCCGACCCTGGCTGTAGCCCCGGTGGGGCACCGGCATCCCCAGTCTCCAGCTCTCCTCTCGCCGTGGGGCACTGGCTCCCGGTTATCTCCCTCCCGGGGTAGACCGGCATCCCCCGACCCCGGCTATAGCCCCGGCGGGGCACCGGCATCCCCGGCTATCCCGATCCCTGGGGGAGCACCGGTATCGCCGGTCTCCGGTTCTCCTCTCGCCACGGGGCACTGGCTCCCGGTTATCTCCCTCCGCGGGGGGGGGACCGGCATCTCCGTTCCCGGGCTACCCCTTCCCGGGGGGACACCGGCATCCCCGGTGCCGACCATCCCTCCCCGTGGGACGCCATCGGTCCCACCTCCCCCTCCCGGTCCCCGGTCCCCGTCCCGCCGCGGGCAGCTCCGTACCTGGGGCGGCGGGTGCCGTGGCCGGTCTTAGCGGCGGTGGCGGCGGCGGGGCCGGTTTGTCGGCGGCGACGGGCGGACGGCGGAGCTGGCAGGGCGGCCCGGGGAGGCCTCTTATAGCGGGGAGCTGAGCCCGCCCTCGGGTTCCTGGAACTGCGAGGCTTCTTGTAACGCTGCCGGCGCCCTCCCGCCGCCCCGCCC